CAGCATCTTTGGGAAAAGCCAGGTAGTCAGTCTGTGTCTGCCTCACCTGTAAGACAGGGTTAAACACCTCCCTACCTTCCAAAGGCACCGGGATGCTAAATTCATTAGCAAAGTACCTTCAGACGTGTGGGTGGAAAGTACCAAACAAGGTCAGAGTGTTATTAATGGCGCTGAAAAAGAGCCACCAGTGATTTTAGATCTCAGATGCAGTTTGCCCACTTTAATTTCTCATATCACGTGTCTACAGGACATCAGCTGTGAAGACCTGAGACAACTCACTCTATTACCTCAAAACAACTGTTGAAAACCCCACATAAACCTTCAAAAATTAAAGTTCTCTTGGACAATGACTCTGTCAGATATGAACAGGGCAGGGAGATGAGTTAGATAAGGAGGTCCTGAGGGAGGGGAACCCCTGTGGCACCTCTTGTAGAGAGCAGGGCAGTAACACACAAGATCCTTCACCTGGTTTTGGAAGGGAAGAATTTTTCAACGGACCCTGTCCCTCACCACTCTTTCACGATATACTACCAGACACACTCAACTGGCCAAAAAAAGTCTACTCGGGTCATACTGACTGGGAATCTTAAGCAGCTGAATTATTTAATGCTGACTGACCACTGGAAGAGAGGGATTTTGAAACGTGTCCCTTACAGTCATGTGCAACAGTCAAAACAGCCATGTGCGCAACCTGGTGTGCAAATGTAAGTGCTGAGCTAATGTGCATATGAAATACGAGGCCACTTCAATTGCATATCTTATTTCCTTATTTTTGTTCTGGATGCTTCCCTTTATGTTCTGAAGATCTCTCCTGCCCCAGCAATACATCTCCAAGCTACCTCCTTTTCCGAGGTAAATCCATCCCAAGATCCTATTTCTAAGAAGCCTGTTGGAAAGAAATATATATCCTTATTATACCCCCTGATTCGTGTAAACCAAAGAAAATAAAGTAATAGCAGTAAAGAACAAACAGGAAAATTCAAGCTGTGCTGAGCCCTGGGCTGCTCGAGTACACTAGTGCCTGCTTGTCTGTCTTAAATATTGTAAAGTCTCACGGCAGGATCACTTTTACGTTGATACAAATAACAAACCTGTCATTATCATTAAACAAATGACAGCCTGTCTGCAAGGGTTAGAGCCTTCTGCTGGAATGAAACTGCATGACATATTTGGATACAGAGCACATGCAGATCCTGCTAATCCTTTCCCGGCTGGTAACCTACAACCTTTTTTCCTTTCCTAAGCACTAGTAACATATAACCATTCAGCTTTATTTCAAAAGAGGCATATTCTCTCCCAGCACTGGAGTGCAGCTCAGTGCTTGAGAGCATGAAGGGGCTTGGAAAGGACCTCTCATTCCCTCCTCTGGAAGGAGAGGAGATCTGAGCCTTCATTCCTCCCTGGCACTCAGAGACTGCATTGATACAAGGACCAACAGATGACATGGTCCTACGCATCACTTTCCTGATGGAAAAGAAATCAGCGATTCAGCATCTGTGTATTTTCCTCCTCCAGCTGCAGATCGACGCACAGCACTATGTGCTGGGCTACAACACTCACACCATGCACACAAGCCCTGTCTTCTCCCAAAACCATCAGCTCCATGTGTGTATTCCAGAAGGCAATGTTATCTCAGTTAACTCCAGACACAGGGTGAATTACCTGGCTGTCTAGAACAGCTCTCTTCAGAGCCATCCACAAAAACAAACAATGCAGTATTTCCTTAAAAGCCGAACGCTGCGTGTACCAATGGAGAAATAAACCAAACAAGACCTGGTAAGACCACAGCAGCATCACCTGGTGAGGATCACCACATTACAGCGAGGTAAAGTTCTGATTTCAACACTTTCAGTCAGACCTTTTCCTGGTCCCACTCAATGCCCTTTCAAGGCAAGACTCTCAAGCCACATTTGCCGAGTTACTCAGTTCTGTCCCTGACACACTTTGGATACAATCCCAAACCATCAAGAAGCAGATGTCCCTATCCAGGTTGCCAGCACTGAAGGTGAAAGTTTATTACTGTCTCTTTGCATTTCCCTTGATATAAACAGGAAACAACCAGCATTAGATTCACTAAATAAAAAGCCAAACCAGATAGGCAAGGCAGAAGATGCTTCTTTTTCCATACACACCCTTTTCCCTCTCATTCACATACAAATTACTGTTGCATCCAGGTGGGAGGAGAGTTTGAAGAGGGGAGGGGGGAAGAAATGTTTGCCAAATAGGTTGAGGGATCAGAAGGCAGCTTTCTCATAAAGTGCAGGGCTGACCCACAAACTGCGAGAAAACCTCAAACTCCGCAAGAGTTTCCCTCCTCCCCATTTTCAGGGTGAGAGCAGCCACAGCAGGGAATTGGTAGGCAAGCAAGGGGTCTAACCAGGTCACTCCACCCTTCTCTTCCCGCCTGGAGCATAACATGGGAGGGAAACAGACCTGAAATGTAGGCCATCTACAAAGACTGGGGGAGAGGCTTAAATGATGTGAGATTTATGATCTTCAAAGTGATTAGCGCCCAGCACTCCAAATAAAGTAAAAGAGAGCTCAGCAGCTCTTGCATTCAGTTTGGAGTTGGTTTTCAAATCATACTTCTCTGGCTTCAGTTTGAAAACTTGAATTGCAAGGTAACAAAAAAAAAAAAAAAAGCCACCCAAAACCAACCTCAAACCCCAAACCAAAATTAAAAAACCCACCAACCTCCACCCCTAATGAAAGAGCTCAGCACCTGATTTTACATGAAAACACTTTGATATTTCCATATCTCCCTTCTTCCTTTTTCTTGTCATTTGAAATCTATTTGCTGAATTGAAGATGAATTCACCAATAACTGAGGTCAACCTGAAATGTGAGTGTATAATCCGTGTGCATTTGGGCTCATGCTCCTTTAAAATAATAACAATAACTATAATGGCTCAAGTTTACACAGGGCCTTGAGAGGGCCAAGAGAGGGAGACAGAGAGCCATTTGCGCACCCCTATGTCCACTCACATGGACTGTTATAACCCCATCCCCAACATCACTGCAAAACCCCTTCTGCGGATACTACCTATGTTCTGGGGAATCGGTCCAGATTAAAAAAAAAATAAAATAAAATTAAAATGAGCTTGTTCACTGGCTTTTGCTTTTCAAACCTTGATAAGTCCCCAGTCAGATCTGGTAAACAGTTACACAGAAATGCTGGCACAAATGAAAAGGATTTTGTGGTACCCCTTTGGTGGAAGGAGAAAAACAGAAGTGGGAAGTGAATGCTACAGAAGGGTGTCATAAAATCACAATCTCTTTTTGGGAGGAGGACATTTCTATCAAGCAGACTCTGGCCCAAATCCTACTGACTGCAAGGCTGTCTGCCCCCACAACTTTACCAGCATCCACTCATTCATTCAGTGGCATGCAGAAAACTAGGACCTTAAAGACAATGGCTCAAATCATCAGTGGGTGTAAATCAGCACTGCTTCACCACAGTCAATAACATTTCCTTGATTAACCTCAGCCCAGCTTCCAGTTCTAACATCTTTGTGGTGTTGCCATAGGAAAAGTTTGCAACATGTAATGATCTTGTACTTTCATAGCTTATTTCTATCTTGAGGGAATTTTCTTTTATCACTAGTTATAAGCAGATTGGATTCTTCTCTTGGCGTGTAGAAAGCCTGTGCTTTGGGCTCTGCAATCCACAGAGCTGGAGACACAAGACTTTTTGTTTTCAGCTGGGTATTCCAAAAACCTGGAAGATGGCTGAACGTGTTAAGACACCTTTGATAGGAAGTTACGACCCACCCAAAACCATAGCAGCCAAACCAAACAAACAAACAGCAGCTTGCTGACATCTGTCAGACAAGAGCCACCAAGGCAAGCTTGAAGGACAGAAAAGTCATGGCAAGAAGCTCCAGCTGCCCACCTGCTGCTAGCAGGAAGCCTTTGCAAAGGATTGCAACCCTTGAACTCAGGGAACGCATGGTTGGAATCAAGTAGGTTGCTGTACTGTAAACAGTGCCAACATCTGCTTCAAATGCTAGTGACTGCCTGTGGAGTTACAGCCCCTTTTGCTTTCCTTGCTCCAGTTCCCCAGCCAACCCCCAGAGTTCTGCAGCAGATCAGTGGGTTAGCTCTCTAGACATCCCCTTTTTCTTTACAAGGTCTGAGTCCAGCTCCACTGATGGCTCCACAGGATTCCTTAGCTCTGGACTCAGAGAGCATTTTCTCATGTGTCTGCACAGATTCAAAATCTATATGCTCTGGAGGGCTGTCTGCTTCTTCCCCTTGCAATTCTGATGTGAGATTCAGGGATTTATTGGAGCCACATATGAAAATCTCCAGGCACTCAGTGAGACGGGGGTTGCTTTTAGCTGTATGAAGCAGGAGGATAACAGCAAACACAGCAAAGACAACGGTCCCTCACATGTTCATTTGCAATTAGGGCTTGCTTGCCTTGCAAGAATCACTTGCTTTTATCTGCTGTCCCTTTCCCCACTGTCTTGCAGAGAGGAATCTGCCGTTGTAGGCAGGCCTGGTCTTGACCTACGCACTCCAAGACCTCAAACCACCTCATCTTCAGTCCTTGCTGATACTCCTGTGAGTCAGCCCCGTGCTCTTAGACTTGCATACCACAGTGCTTTCAGAGCCAGTGTCCCAAGCAGTAGAAATGCATGGGGCTTTGGGGTGGGATTTGCACATTCACCAGTGTAACTGAGGTCCCTTTTGTTTCTAAATGACAATGGAAAAAAATTAAAAAGCCAGAAAAAGCCTCAAGCAAATGGTGATTTCAAGAAACTCTATAATTAACTGAGCTTCTATAAAGTAGGAAGGCCTGGAAACCAGAAGTTTAATCTGTCATTCTATCCCACAAGGGGAACTGGGAGGACTTATGTGGTCTGTTTAATGGTAGCTTCTGACCTAACAGTTTTTATCTCTTAGCAGTACCTGCCTGGGACTCAGCAGGATGAGCAATTAAAAAACAGTAATTCAAGAAAGCAGGAGAATACCTGGTAACCCAGGGAGCATCTTACCTGCCTGTTAAAGTCCAGCCCATTCTGTTCATTTCCTACAATGAAACAAGCAGAAAAATATCTCAGTATTAATGACAGTCAGCATTGATGCAAACTTTCCAGAACTTACAACACACATAACCAAAGACACGCTGCTAGCCCAGCTTAGTTTACCTTAAGAGCAAGGAGAGGAGGAGGAAGGTGGAATCAACGTGAATGCAGCAATGGAAGTACGAAGGCAGATTTTGCAACATTTGGTGGTATCAGCCTTTGCTGAAGTATAAGAGAAGTGCTTCTGCCCGGGAGACAGCTGGCCAAGCAGCAAGGGTGGGGGAAAGCTCACCGACTGAAAGGGAGATTCCAGCAGAGGTGAGCTGGAGGACGTTACAAATCTCCAGGGAAATCCAGGGCCAAGGCACTGTACATAAGGCAAGAACTAACTGTGGGAGAGGCTAGCAAACAGGTGGCCAAGGCTGTAAACCAGGGATCTTCAGGAACCCGTGTGGCACTGAGTAATTACGGGATATCTAAAGGAACAGAGGGTGCCGTGGGGTTGTGCTCAAGAGGCGTCTCCTTGATTCCAGAAGAGATTGGCAGGCACAGGGGGAAAAATCAGACAGGTTTCAGCCTGAAGGTACCGCACAGGCCCTCACTCATTCCCCTTTGATGATAAACATTTCCCCCCCCCCCCATCACACCTGCCAAATTCATCAAGAACATCACAGAGGAAAGGTTGTACGCTCCACAGATATGAATGCTTTAAGGGATTCCACGAAGCCTCTTTAGTTGCAAAGGCAACCCCAAGAAACCCCTTCCCTTTGCAATCCATTCCCTAAGTCATTCTCTTCCAGTCCAACTGAGTTTGTGATAAACAGTCTTAAATTGTTCACATCCCATTGGCACAAGCCCCCAGGGCCTCCTCCTCCTGTTTTTTCCAGTATAACATTCCCCATAAAGCATAGCCCATGCCCTGTGATCTGATCAAGCTTCAACACATCATGTTTTTCAGTAGTTCATGTCTCTTGCAAAAAGTTGGAAAGCAGTTAAGAGGCTGTGCAGGCAGGAGTGCAAATCCAACTCCCATTGACTTGCTTTCTTCAACTGAACAAGTCTCTACCCTAATCTAGCACGCAGTTTTTCAACTTGCACCGTACACATAATATTCCCAGGTGAATCAGCATGGTTCTTTGAGGTCCTCAGGGGGAGCATGCTTGGTACAATTATTCATAGATGGCAAAATATTTTAGAGTCAACAATAACAATTCCATGGCACCCTGTTCTCTGCTATCTAGAAACAACTCTGGAGATTTAATCTGCAACATGTTAACAGCATTGGCTGTGGAAACTGAGCTGCCTTTTGTTGCTCTTGTTAGGCTGAGCTGTAGGTTTTCACTATCAAAAAATACCAGAGCACTATTTCATAGCAGGACAAGCTGTTGCCCCCTCCCCCCGAATGTCCTCCATCTTCTCATCATCTGCAACTCAACCTAGATCCAGCTCTGCACCTTCTCCCCGAGCCTGTCCACGTTTCTGCTGTGCTACAGCCTGCCCTCACTTCCCGTCTTCTTCCCAACCTGCTTCTCAAAGCTTTTTCTCTTCCCAGTCTCAGGTCTTTATCCTCTTCCATGTAATTCCCTACTCTGCTACAACCTCCAACCTGCCACGCGCTTCCATGCTCCCGTGCCTCTCACTGTAACCATCTGCTCCCTGACCACCTCTCTCCAGCTGGTCCTGCCCGAGGAATTTGTTCATTCATTGCGTTCCAGCTCTACGCCCCAAGAGCCAACAACTGCACATATAACGATGGGAATGCTGATAGTGTTAATAGATGATCGCAATCAGTATCCACACACCTGAGCAGGACTGTGTGAGGATCTTCAAGGCCTGCAGTTTCTACCTTTGAAACCCACGGGGGGTTGATGTAATCTAAAGGCAGTAGCTAAAGGGAAGAAAGGCAAGGAGGAGAGAAGGAGGAAATAAAGTTCCCAGTTGCTAAAATAGAACAGGAAGGAAAAGGTAATCTTCTGGTTTCTTGGATATAAGAGTTTCGCTCACGTTCAAATGCAGCATGTTGATGAGGCAAGATTCAAAGACCTTGAGGGAAATCCCTAGGTCCCAGTGATGACGGCTCTGAGTCACTATCATACACCCCAAAACTTGGAACTTGAGATGCACAGCTGGAACGGAGTTTCACTCCACATTGCTACCACGAGGCCCAAGTTCTCCAGTGTATTCTTTCTTCCTCTTCCAAGCTTCCCATCTCCTTCTTTTTTCCTCGCTTCACAAGCATGTGCAGCTGACAGACTTCTACCTTTCGTTTTCCCTTCCTCTCCTACAAGGCCAGACACAGCTTCCTCCAAGTCCTACCCTCTGCTCTCTTGCATGTCCCACTGCAGGTCGACAGGGGTAAGCGGGAGCACATCAGCCAGGTATTCTGTGACAGTAGAGCATACTGCAAATATGCATGGAGATTGACACTAACTCAGTCGTAGCTTGGGCGTCTAAGTCTGAGATAAGTGCCCCAGGCTGTCTCGGTAGACAGCGAGGAGAAATAGGCACCTCCAGAGGCCATTCATCTGACCTATCTTAGACGCCTATCTTAAGTTGAGATGAATGGCCCTCTGGAGATGACTATTTCTCTTTATTGACTACAAAGGGACCCGGGGCAACTACTTCAGACTTAGATGTCCAATAGTGAGATATTTAAAACTGGGCGAGGTGATTTCTACTCCCAGTGGTTATGTAAATGGGAGCTGGATACACAAATCTCTTCATTTCAGCAGGACCAGTGAGTGTTTGTGCACAGATTTATTTGCAAACAAATCTTGTCTTTTTCTATTCCAGTAAAAGCTTGTGTTTCAGTGAAATTAAAATTATTCCAGCTGCAAGCTAAGGTTTGGGTGTGATGGGGATAACAACTCTCCTCTTTCAGTTAAATCAGTAATTTTCCTACAAATATTTTTAAAAATAGACTCCGTTTCCTCCCAGTTTCTATCAACATCAGGACTCACACTGAAGTAGTCGTTTCTCTCCTTAAAGGAACGGGCTGTTCAAACAACGAGGATCTGTACTTAAGATTTAATCTTTTCTAGCTCCAGGAGATAAAAAGAAAGAAAAGTGTAAGTGGCAGCAGATTCTCAGCTGCCGTAAACTGCCAGAACTCCACTAATTTTGCTGGAGCTTCACACCAGCCAACAACTTGCCTCTTGCTACACCAGCCAGACAGAATGGGATCCAAAGTCTCCAGCGTCTGCTAGACGCAGTCCTCCCCTCCTTAAATTGCATCAAACTGGGGAAGCCCTGGGATTTAAATGGAGAAAGATTGCTTTGAGCCCCTTGCTCTATGGTTCCCAGGAGCCTCCCCATCAAACAAGCCTTCATTCCCCTCTTTATGGGTGTTCTGGACAGGGGGAAAAAGGCAGCGATAAGCTCAGCTGGCTCCCCGCAGCACAGCAGACAAGGACTACGCTGCTCTCCTTGGTTCACCTGGCAGCTGTTTTGCATAGCACTGGCATCAGATCTGGTGCGAGTTTGCCTGGGGAAGTTTCTCTGGGGATGGGAGCAGCAGAACAGTTCCGGATGGCTTCCCCCCACCCGCTGCTGTTGCCCCCACCTGGAACGCAGCATTTGCTCTGAAAACCAAAGACAAGCACTCTATCAGAACTGACACAATTCCCACTGGAGGCCGCCAAGCCAGTCCAGCACTAGACGATAAAAGCACTGTAATGGGAGAAAAGTAAAATCAAGATTGCAGTGCGCCTTCATCTTCACAAGGCAAACACACGCAGCAACATGCAGATGTCACCTCCAGGGAGTGACAGCCACCCTGGCTTTTCACCCAGTGACAAAAATCAGGGCTGCAATCAGAAAGCTAGCTAACCTTATCCCCCTTCCCGCCCAACTACACACTTAATTCACCTCACAGTTTGATCTCAGCTGCACAGGAGGGACAGGGAATTAGAAGGCGATTTCAATCTTTAACAGGTGTTGGGGAATTCCCACAGGGAATCAGTTTTCTGCCGCATGCGTTTGGGAGGGAAATTCAGAACAGCTGAACGGCAATGGGGGAACAGTGCCAGGCAGACACCAGGCCGGGGATTCAGCTGCCTGGGCTTAGATGTCTAACTTTTAGGTGTCTAATTCTGAGCCAATTGCTCTAGGCTCCCTTTACAGCTACAGAGAGGAAGCGGGCGCTTCCAGAGGGCAATTCATCTCACCCCCGAGATAGACGGCAGAGAGATGAATCACCTTCTGGAGATACCTATTTTCATCATTGACTGTACAAGGAGCCTGGGGTGAGTAGGTCAGACTTCCTCCTCAAAGTATGGAATATCTAAAATTAAGATTAATCTCACCTATCTTGAGGATTTTAACACTCCAGCTGATAAAGCACAATGCCATTAGAGATTGACAAAGCAGACCAGATGCAGAGTGCCTTTCGACATACATTTTCTAGAAGCTGAGAAATTAACTTGTTCACATTAACTGAGACAAGAATCAAATCTCTCACCTCAAACAACATGTGAAGTTAAAAGATTGCCCAAGAGCAGGTAAAGAAAAGAGTGGCAACAATTATTATAACTATAAACAGTACTTGACCCACATGCTGTAAATGAAGTAAAATGCTCACCTGCACTGAGAAGGATGTGGTTCTAGTAAGCAAAAAAAAGATATTCAGCATCAGATATACTCCTCAGGATTGAGGACTCAAGCAAATACCAGATCGTAGCCCTTAACGCTACTGTTCCCAGCAGCCAGACCAGTGACTTCTCCAGAACAAGCAGGAAAAGCCCCGGGTGGTAGGATCTCACTTAAATGACCTTCTCTCCATTTTAGTGGCTACCCCTGATTCCCTCCACCTGTGTCCAGTGGCACTGGGGAGCAGAAACTGAAGCTGAGCAGACATCAGTCAGTGCCCTAGATCCTTATGTGCCCTGCTGGGATGCTTGCCGTTGCCAAAGCTTACTTTAAGAAGTGCTTTTTAAAGAGAGCAGGAGAAAGTGTCAGCAGGATGGGGAGATTCAAGGCAGCCAGATAGGGCTGCAGTTTTCATGTT